AGATGTGGAGTTGATGAAGCAGCTGCAGGAGCTGGAACAGGCGGAGATGGAGCGGCAGTACGGCGAACGTCAGGCAGGGCTGATGGAGCAGCGGGAGCGCTCGGAGCGGGAGACGATCGTGCAGATGGAGCGGACGGTGCGGCAGCAGTACGTGGAGGCGCGGCGCCAGATCGAGGGGTCGCTGCAGCAGCACGCCCGTGAGGCTGCGGAGCGGGCGGCGTGGGCGCGTCTTGCGGCGCTGGAGCGTGAGGAACGGGGCGCGGTGGCGGCTGCGGAGGCCGGGGCGCGTGGCGGGCTGATCGCGGAGGAGCGCGGCGGCCGTGTGGTGGCCTCCACGCGCGAGGCGGAGCGGCTACGAGGGGAGCGCGACCGCCTCCATGCGGAGCGGGAGACCGCACGGATTGCCGGGTTGCTGGACCGAATGCTCCTGCATGAAGAGCCCGTGGAGCGGCAGCAGGTGGTCGCGCAGGAGGCTCGCGCGCGGGACCTCCTCCTGACGGAGCAGGAGCTGTCGCCGACACGGGTGCGCGACGCGATCAGCCGTCGTACGGCGGAGCTGGAGGCTGCGCGTGCGCGGGAGCAGCGGATGCGGCGACTGGCGATGCACGCCGAGGAGCTCTACCGTGACGAGAGCGACGAGCGGTTTGACGTGCGCGAGAGTGAGCGGCGGGAACGACGGAAGCTCTACGCGATTGCGTCCAGTGCGGCTCGCACGGGTGTGGTCCTGGCCACGGAGCTGAACAGCGCGTCACTGGGGGATGTGGAGTTGATGAAGCAGCTTAAGGAGTATGAAGAAAGATTCTTAGAGGCCAATACTCGCTTACGTGAAGCTGAGCAGCGCCTTCAGGAGGAGATTCGGATTCGTGATCGGGCTGTCGCTGATCGTCACGCTGCTGAAGAGGAAGCTAAGAGTTTACTGAAAGGTGCTGAACGTCTTTCTGAAAATCGTTTCCTACGAGCTCGTGAAGAAATCGAGAATGTCATCCACCTCGATACCAAAGCAGCACAGAATGTCGATGCTCACCGTGCTGATCATGAAGTAATCTTGCCAAGACTTCGTGAGGAGGAGTACCGAACGCTGTTGGAGGCGAAGCTGCAGGCTGCAGAGCGGGCTTTGGAAGAGGTCCAGAATCAAGCTCGGCAAGAAATACGCAAGGCATTTGAGGAGGCTGGTATACGGGCTGCCGCTCAGGCTGCTATTACTAAGCTTCCTGCTCGAGGGCCAGGGACTGAGTATATGGCGAGAGAAAAGTCCAATCATCTCTCATATGTTTCCAAGCATAAGGATGAACAGAAGGATGCCGAAGAGCGACTGCTTGAGGAACGCATCGGTGTTGCGATTCGTGTGACCAAAGAAGACTCACAACATTCGACGGAAGAACTCCAGGCTCGATTCGAGGAACTGCGGGAACGACAGGAGGCGCGATCGGCTGAAATAAGCGAAGCACATGCTCATGTAATTCAGGCGCGTGAGGATATCCGTGAATTCAATTCGACTGGCAGCCTGCCCTTTGCTAATGCTACGCCGAAATTATCTACCCCAATAGCTTCTTCAATGTCCGCGCAGAAGCAGCATACAGTGCCCATGGAGCCGTCTACATCCATCAGAGGACCACCTGACATGCCTTCTTTACATGGAGAATCTGAACTGGCGAACAACCGCTTTCAGAATGCGCAACAACGACGCCAGACTAACTTGTTGGTATTATCATCGAGTAAGTCTCTGGATCAACAACAGCCGAGCTACTCTGTACCACCTGCTCTTCCCATTCCCAACCAGCCGCTTTCACTTGCCGAACGAAGTGATTATCAGCTTTTTATGCGTATGGCTATCCACGAAGCAGTTCGTGAGATCCTTGCTGCACGTAAACATGGTCGCGCGCTTCGTGACGAGGCCTCACAGCGGCTTCAGCGTAGCAATCGTCGGTACCATCGCTACCTGGCCCAACGTGATGAGGCTGAGTCCAACCTCTTAGAGGTGGAAACGTCATACTCGGAGCTGTCAGGGTCCGTAATGGTCTCATCATATACTCCCTTGAATGAACATGCCGAGGAAAGGCGAGTAACCGACGTGAAAAAGAGGAATCATACGATATATCAAAGCCATAATGGCCACTCACAGCAGGAAAACTTCTACAAAAATAGCAGGCACCACAGCAAAAAGGTAGAACATCCATCCTTGATCTCAAGAAGCTCCGAGGAAGATTTATCGTCACGTCCTTCTGATTCCCATGGGGTTTGTCACCACTTGCACGCAACTTCTGCGCACTCTCCTGAGCGATCCGCCCTACTCGATGACGGCAAACACCACGGACCGATAACCTCTATACCCCCTATCTCCCTTACCCCCAAGCGGGGAACCGCCACCACCACCTTGCCTGAGCCCCAGGGCCCCGAGGAGGCTGTGTTATCCAACAACAACCATCGCGGCCGCATGGACGAGGACCTATCGGCTCACCCGAGTCGTCGTCCCCTTGACCAGTCCTCCCACACGACCCCCATGGGCGGAGCGGCCGCGACACAGACCGATGGGGGCTGGAGCCCCCGTACCCCTCCCGCACGGCAACGGCCCTTTGCTGAGCACAAGTCCCCGGAGGAGCCCAAGACTGTCCGGAAGACCTTTGAGGCCTTCTTTGTCCCACTCTACGACGACGCCGGGGAGCCCCGTCGGCCGAAGCCGCCGGTGCCTTGTAATTACGTGCCAAAGAAAGTCTCCCGCGTGTCACAGCCGGCTCCCCGTTCCTTTAGGAAAACCCAACGGAAAAACAAAGCGCCACGCCGTGACACGGGTGGTGGGGCTCCTTGTCCGAGAGCCCATAGGGGATGCCCAGGCACGACCGGAAAGGGACTCGCACGGCCGCCACCGCGGTCCACCTCTCGCGTGTCCGAGGTGACGGCGCGGTCGACGACGCGGGAGGAGCCCGCCCGACGTCACCGGCGGGTGGTCTCGTCGGGAAAGTGGCTGTCCAGTGCCTCGGGCAGCGTCATGGACGCAGAGAGGAATCGACGGGAGTGTGTGCGTGAGACCGTCGCGCCTCAGCGCTCGTCGCACGTGGTTCGTAGTTTGCAAGAATTATGGAAAGAGCGGCCCTCCATTCACCACAGCGCCGTGGATAACGGTATCAATATAGATGATGACGAAGTAGCGGGTGGGATAACGAAAGACTATTACTATTATGGCCACGAGGGTGCTAATGAAGTGGAGTCCTGGCCTCAGCGGGGCCAGCCAGAGGAGGCAAGGGTGGTGACGCCACCCCAGCAAATGCAGGGTCTAAGGAAAGAGGAGGAGGGCGCTCCTGCGGTAATGCCGTCGTACGACGGCGCCACCTTTACGGAGGTTCGAGCAGGCAGAAGAGGCAAAGCGGGAATGAAAGACATGTTCTATCCCCCTTACGAGTCTCTGAAGGAGGATCGTGAGCTAGAGACAATTTTCCCTTATGGTTACATCCAAGTCGGCTGTGTGAGGAGTTCCACACGTCAGACGGATTCCTACCGCCGATCTGATAAAGCGGTTTCGACCTACTTTCCGGATACTGTGATAGAGCCTCCACGCTCTGCGGTTGGTCCGGTGCCAGGGATGGTCAACACCCCGCCGACGAGCCGGAGCCGAGACGTTCAACACCAGACCAACCTGAAGACAGCATACTACCAGCCACTGTCACCACAGCGTTCACCTCGTCTGAATGCATCGTGTGAGCATGAGGAACCCGTGGCGTGGACCGATATCCGGGCGTTTGACGACAAAAATCTCCGACAGCGCGGTGCGTCGCATTTTTCGCGGTTCCCACCGACACTAGATGAGCTGGACTATCGACTACAACAACTTCGCAACGAAACCATTTTAAAAGAGGCGAAGCACAGACTGCAGAAGAGCTCACGTGCCCTTGCGGAGGCCGCGGCTGATGTCTCACGTGGTAAGACAAGGCCTTCACGAGAACGCGGTATAAGTGGTTCTCGTGCAAGGTGCCAGTTGTGGGAGCGAAAGTCACCTCAACCAATGTGTTCGCCGCCGTGGCGCACAGACTACAACTCATCCCCGGTAAAACCACCGTGGAGTGTTGCGAAACCGCACTCAACGTTGTGTTAAATGACCTTGGTTTACGTCTGAGGGCTTGTGTCTGTTTTCGGAAAGTGTGGCACTGCTGAGGAGGAATCTCAAATGTTGTTACAGCTTTTTAGGTGTTTATTCCGATTTTCATAGACGTTTATTCATTTTTTGAAGTAAAGGATAGATTTATAATGATGTGAATTATCGTTTACTTGTTCTATTGCGTCGTTCCCCTTTCCTCATTGGGGTATCTCATTAGATTACGTGATATCCCTTAAAAAATTGAACATTGGGTGTTCATTAACATTGAGGGTGATCATTCAAATGTTCTCCCTAAACGACCCCCTCCTCCCCCATCCCGCTTAAGTAAAATGTCGTGCGAAGTTGATTCACATATATGTGCCCTCTTCTCACTGAGACGGATGCAAATGATAAAGTTAGCATCTGGGGAAACCCCAAAAGAAGCATGTGCTGGTTTCTATAATTGATAAAAGCACAAAATGAGGGGGGGGGGGGGGGTATTAGATCCAACGAAAGGAGCAACCAGGCTGCATTAATATAGAAAAGCTACTTTTAAGTGCTTCTCCCATCCCTTTATGCTTTCATTAGAGTATTCATTTTCGCTTTCTTTTTTTTCTGTGTGTAGATTTTGGTCTAGGAGTCCCTTTCTTGGCCTCTTTTAGGTATTATTACCCAATATCAATTCAATATGATGCTTACTTTTTTCTGGGTTGATTTAAGCTCAGTTCGCCTTTCTTATCCTTAATCGCTATTCCATTAGATACGTACGCATCACGATAAATAAATAATATGGGATACTCATGATAAGATTAACATTTACTGTCTGATACTTCTTTGAATTTCCCACTATCACTACCCCTGTTCTTTAATGCGTATGTTTCGTATTTTGTTGAGAGTTTTTCTTGTCAAGCATAGCTATTTAAAATATTCAAGCTAAAAAAAGTTAACCAGACCAAATTCAGGTTATTTATTTATAAATTTAAACCCTTGAACCCCAAAAAGCATTATCACAATGACCGCACTAATCGCCGGCCAGCGTTACAATTGGATGGGATACAATGGCACCGAGTCGAAGGAAGTGGATGGTATTTTTATTCGCGGTGGCAATGATGCCGGTATTGCCGACTATTGGAGGCGGCGAAGCATCATCGATGATATCAAAAGACGTTTACACCTCATAAAAGGAGATCTCGACCTCATTCCCGAGGAGGAACTTCGTGCAGAGAGGGAGGCCGCCCGGAGGCGCCGTGCTGCGAGGGAGGCCGAGGAGCCGGCGAGGCAAGCCCAGGATGAGGAGTGCGAGGATATGGATTATGACGCCTATCAGGCGGAGGAAGATGCCAGGCGGTCGTCCGAGAGTCAATTTGAAGAGCGCACGCGAGAAATCATGCAGCGGACCGCCGGGATCAGCGAGGCCGAGTGCAACGGGCTCCTGGAAAACATGCCGCGCACCAAGGCGGAGGTGCAGCAGGCCGTGAGCTCCTTCAGCGCCCGCACGCGGGCTTTCCTAGTCAGGCAAGGGGCCTACTACGTCTCCTACCTTGATGGCTCGTGGCATACCTCGCTTGAGAAGCTTGAGCAGCACAATTTTAAATTCCAAAGCCTCACGGAGCGGGCGTTGGAAGGGACTGGTGTGGGGCTTCCCCTTGCGGAGGACTACAGCACCGCCGAGCTGCGCGATGCGGCAGAACGCCTGGAGGTCGCGCAGCAGAAGCTGCAGGCGTACCTCTGCCAGGTTGATCGCACCCACGTGATGCGCCTACGTAAAGCGGACAAGGATGAGCGGGGCAACCCCATCGTGCTCATCACCGAGGAGGATGGGGATGAGGAAGCGTTACGGCGGAAGGTGGATGACGCCCTGGCCGATATGGTATCGCTACGTGAGGCCTACAACAAGCGCAGCGCGGCCTGCGGGAAGAAATTGGCTACTTTAACGATCAGCAGCGAACAGCTGCATGACTCGTCGGCATAAGGATCATAGTAGTCGACCTAGGGTATCTCATACGAACAAAGGGTAAAGTAAGGATTTGGAACCCTAATCTCTATTTATAGTCTTTTTTTCACTGATTTAGGCGAATGTTTCTATTTTTTTTTTACAAGTCAGAGTTGTCATGAGATGTTTGGAGGATGTTCTTTCAATAGAGGCACTGGAAGTCAAGATAGCGGGCAATCAAACCATTTTTTTCTCGAAACTGCGCGCGTCGAAAAGCATAACGAATGAAATCAAGGAGCGAGCTTATCAGGAAGGAAGGAGGATGCAGAAAAAGGAGGATAGTGGTGTCTTTGGAAATCAAGGAAGACAAACTAATAGAACAGTTGCTCCTACGATCAAGCTCAACAATGACAGCAATCAAGCTACCATAGGGATAGGAGCGGCCAGGTTCACTTCTTTGTGTCTTCACATATTGTTGTTTATATGAATACCGGTGCAAAGAGTCAGGTTCTCGTAAATACATGTACGCCCACCTACCCCTATCGGCCAGGTGGTTGAACCTTGTAAATCGGAATAGAAATGTGCGGAAAAGGTGTATGTATTGGCATCCTCTCTCGTTCGTTTTTCTTTTAGTCAACTTGTCGCATGATTATATTTTGAGAAAAAAAGATAGGTGAACGTATCGGTAGCCGCGATTATCTTAGGATGAAAGGGGTAGAATTTTTTGTATCTGAAAATTGGGTAACATGGCACTTTTCTACTGAGGTATTTTAATTTCGGTTTTCAAATCATTTGTATTCGGAAACTCAATATATATATTAATGGATCGTACTCATTTTCTTCGAAAGATATATTTCTCTTAAGATATAGTTTTCAGCGTTTTACATCTTTTCCTAGTTTGTGTGTTATGTTAAGATTTTTCTCTTTGATTTAACATTTTATCTACATACATTTTAGGAAACGTTTATATTTTTCATTTTTTATTGATTTTGAAGCCAGTTGACATACAAAGTGCGCGCATTGATATCGTAACTATTAAAAGATATGCTTGTGGTAATATAAATATATGTATATGATTTACAATGAAGGCCAACAAGAAATAGATTAGGCTATTTGTGACCTTTTCACTGAATTTATATAGTTTACTTGAATCTTGTGAAGAGTAAAAGGTACGTTTATATAAAACATATATATATTACTAATAAACGCATTTTTCATAGTAAGAAAAATTATTATACTGTCTAAAGAGAGATATAGACAGGAGAATGAGGATCTAGGAAATATTTTGCCATACTTTGAGACCACTAAGACCCATGATGTCGGGAAGGATGTGAAAAGGTACTCTTTTTATTTTTATTTTTGTTTCTTTTCCTTTGGCTTTTATTGCCATTTTGCTCTTTTATTGAGAATGCAGTTTTCACCGTTTCCAGTGTGTTGCTTTACTAGCAAGCCATAAACATGCAAGGAGAGAGGGGGGACGTAAAACAGAGCTAATATACACCAATTTCATATTAAAGAATTCATTCCAAAACGTAGAAATCATCGTGGAATTCATATAAACGGATTGCAAGTGTAGAGCATATATCTTCTTTTTTTCTTTCCTATGTCCTCAACAGGAATCACACCGCTTGGGCCTTTGTATGGGACTGGCCCTTCATATAGCTCCAATCTGCTTCCAACTCCTAATACCGAGGAGGGTTGCACCAACATTAACACCAACGCAACATTTAGTGGTGACGTAACAGATCATATCACCCATCCAATTTCGGTACCCCGAGAATCGTTGCCAACCCCCCATCCATATACTTCATATTCGTATTTTTCTCCCCATCAAGCACCAGGGAGTTTGCCAGGCGTGGACTTATCAACCTCCCCATCGGTTCTACAACAGCAACCGGGCTCTGCCCCCATTCCGGCTTACCCTGAGGGACCTCCCCATCCCGTTTCCGCACCTGCCCCCTGCGGTGATGTTTTAGGCGAGGTGAAACCTCTCAAAGCGATCCAACCCAACGCCGCCGCGGAGGCTGCCCAGCTTCGCGCGCAGATGCGGGTTCTGGAGCGCGAAATCCAAGAATTACGCCAAGGGCTCGCGCAGAACGCGTCGATTGGCCATCGTCATGCTCAGATCGTTGCCTTTGCCTCGGGCGTCAACGGGGTGGGCGCGCCCGCCGTGCGGCGTTCCAAAAGTGTCCCCAAATCAAAGCCCGAGATTGCCTTCAACCGCAGGGTTGGGAGTCCATCGCGGGAGGTTCGAAGACGCCCCACCGTGCCGTCTAAAGCTCACGCAAATGGAAAGGGAGGCCAGCCCCTTTATGCGAAGGAAGAGGGTCGAAATATCGATCGCCAACAAGGGCCATCCCCTCATCCAACCCCCGTGGCCACGTCAGCTATAGTGAAACCAACGGAACGGGCGGTCGTGGGGGTTCCGTTGTTCACTAATAGTCGTGAGATTCCTCTGCAGGGCTCCGCTCAAGGAGGGGCGTTGCTTCCCAATTCCTCCGATGTTGGGATCTCCTCTTCGGGGAGTTGTCGGGTTTTAGACAAGACGCAACATCCGGTTTCGCACGACGCGTCGCCGGCCTCGCGTTTTCCACTTCCTGAAACTTCGAGCAGGGATTATTGTTGGTTATCGGCGGATTCGAGGGCTTTGCGTCTGCCTTATACTCAAACGACGAAGGCTCCGCTCACGACGACAGGCAGCCCCTCATCGAATCCAATCCCCACGTCAACCACGGCCATCCCTTCCTCAGCGGGCACTGCTTTGTACGCGAAAAGTTCCACCGCGGATCCGCAAAATGAGATCCCCAGCAGCGTCGTAGGGGAAACCCAGGGGGTTCGAGAACTGCCAAGTCATCCAACATCCGTGGCGAGCGCAGGAGGGGGGCCTCTCGGGGTCCCCTCTTCCTCCTCCCCCCCTGCTGTTTTAGGAGCGGATGCGAGGAACACGGGTCTAGTGGAGGTTGCCGCAGCTTCCAGCACGGCATCCACGCCTTCGTCTTCCGCGCACCAGGCCGCCCTGCAGTATATGGCGCGCGAGTTGGCGGAATCTCGACAGCAAACCACGGCGCTCCGCCGCGGGGCGGAGGAGGGGGAGGCTCTTCGTTCTCAACTTCAGCTCCGCCTGGAGGCGCTCACGGCGGAGGTGGAGCGTTTACAATCCGAGCTGAAGATGGCCCAGGATGAGATCCGGATTCTTCAAGAGCGATCCCATCCAGATACGGCGAGCACCACTAACGCGACGAGGGATCTTTCTGTTCTGAAAGAGGTTCAGGTACCCGCCGCGGCGGATGCTGCGCAGCTGACAGTCGCATCCTCAGTTTCTCAACAACAACAGCAGCAGTCGAATTCAATCGAATCGTCAACTACCCCAGTTCACCTCACATCATCCGAGGGCATGTCGGAAGTACAGATCCAACTAATGCAGGCCCGTGAACAAATCCACACCCTTTCCAAAAAAATCGCCGCATGGGAGTCGTGGTTCGCGAAACAACATCCGAAATCCCACAAGGCAGTTCGAGAAAAGCGAAGCACCAGTGGTAAGAAGATTCCACTAGAGGTATTATCGAATACCGGGCGTGCTAAAACGCGCATTCGGCGAGTTCCTCCAGACGACGCCCTCACCAACTCATTTCCCATTGGTTTACCCTGGCCGGCGGGTGGGGTGGAGGGGGGACCGGTACCCTACGGCTCCGTCTACACAACCCACGACGAACCCCCTCCACAAGCCTTTTCCAACGGAAAAGGAACCCATCACCACCGTAGCAAGGGTGAGGCGGCGTATGACGCTCACTCCAACATGATTTATACTGACGCGTTTGCTCATTTACACGCCCACCAAGCCACACCATCGTATCCGGTTGTCGAGGATGCGTATAGAGGCTGTGAATCGTTATTCCCTGTCGGGGGATTTTTCCCCGACGTTGAGCGCGGGGTGATGGAGCTCATCGCGAAGGAGCGCGCCGTACGCGAGCTATCTTCGGAAGGTCGAAGAATGGCCGAAGCTCGACTGAGGGCTGTTCTGTTAGCCGAGCGACGCCAGAAACACGGGAGTGGCTTGAATCGAGATCATGAAAGTGAGAGGGCCGCCGTCGGGAGCGTGAGCGGTAGCGACGGTCTGGACTCAGAATATCGCTCAGGGGCTCCCATTGAGGTGCAACTCAGCATGTCCAACGATTAAACAATATTGTAAAGCGATAGGGCGATGCCTTCTTCAGGGAGATGGTCAATGCGGGAGATTATAGATGCGTAACGTTAGGAAGAATAGAGTATATAGATACATATTCATACAAATATATACACATATCCGACCTATATGGTCATTTTACGTATCTTTCTACAGCAATTCATTCTATTTTTCCATTGCTCATTGGGTATCGTTGATGCTCTTTTATTCTCAATTTTAACCCTGATGTTGCTTTTCATCAATCGAAGTATAGTTATTTGCGTCGAGGTAATCTACCATACACAGGTCTTGCTTCTTAAATTCATAGCCCGTGGGGTGCTCTCGAGCTTCTTCCCTATGTGCAGGTCATGTTTTATCGATTTATAGATTCAGCACCGGAGGGCGAAAATGACGACGATGACGACGACGAGGTGGTTGTGTATGATCGCTCTAACACGGAAATGGATAAGTTTCGCGATTTTTTCTTCGACGAAGGGAATCCTGCCCGGGTGGATGAGTCAGGAAGGCTTGGTAGCACCATCCCAAGAGCAGCAGAAAGGTCCCTGCCTCATACGGACGACGCCGTGGCGAAGGATATCACCACCATGGATCATGCGGTGCGAGTACCCGACGCGCTGCGATGTGCGGGCCGACGAACGATGTTTGACGTTCTCGCAAAGGTGAAAGGGACAAAAGACAACCCGATCGACCGGAAAGAAGGGCGGGTGAGTTCACTTGGATACGCGTTGGATACAAACGCTGAGGTTTCAAGGAATTTTGCCAGGGTGGTGCCCGAGAAGGGTGAATCCCAAGGCAACCATCATGGGCTCTTGGAAGCAAGTACACCGTCCGCTGGAGTGGATGAGGAGCAGAACAAACTCCGTCGTGGCTTAAGGCATTTGCTTCCTCGGCACCTTCAGAAAGATGAGCGGAGTCGAATGGAGCGGGAAATCGCGGAAGAGAGGCGATGTCGGGCGGAAGAAAGTGCCATGGCATTGGAAATTTCCGACTTTAGCAGTTCTACCAGCGAAAGTGGTGCGAACGAGGCGGATGGAGGTCGTTGCCAGTCTCGCGGTCTGCGTCGAGAGGCCCTTCCAACGCAACTCCCCACCCCCACCCCCACCCCCACCCCATTTAGCAACTCCACGGAGGCTCGACAGATCGATTTGGATGTGGAAATCCAGGGCGGGCATGGGGTTCGTAAAGGTCGTGGCGTCACCTCGTCAGGTCCCTCCGCCGCCCGCTCGGTATGGGATCTTTTCCAAGACAAAGAGGAGATCGCGGTGCGCGCGACGCAGCCCATTCCCCCTCTTCAGTCTCAACCCCCTCTTAGACGTCCTCCTCCTCCTCTTCCTTCTCATTCCACGGCACTGAATACCGATCCGTTTGGGGAGGTTGCGGCCTCCCTCGCGCCCTCCTCCGCCCGCTCCACGATTGGCCGAGGATCCATCAACGGCGGGGGGGAGCAAACCTTGGAGACGTTGCTCGATGCCGGTTTGGCGAGTGGCCCTTGGGAAGGGGGGGTGGATTCCCTTGGAGGGGTTTTGCTCAAACAGGAGCGGCAACGACGGCTCGCGTTGAATTCGCGGCCGCCAGGGGTGGTGGAGAACAGCGCTAGCGGCCATGGTGGTGGGGTACTGGGCAAACCCATGACGCTCCACCTTCACTCCCTCGCTTCGAATACGACGGGAAATGCCTATTGTGGGGGTTTCCCGCCACCTCAAGGTCGAGGCTCGCTGGATAAACGAGCACTTCGGCAGCTGTGGAAGATCCCCACCGCTTGGCGTGTGGTGGAGTATCTTCGCCAGACTTTTGCAACCTGGACGTTGAATGGATGGCTTTTACGTGGATGGCAACGACAGCACCCCTCTCATGGCGGCGGCGATGCACCACCGAATTTATCTTCCGCCTCTGAACCCCCAACCACCCTTCGATCAAGGCAGGAGGGGATGGAATCCAACCCTACGGATCTTGGGTATGCTCCTTCTAGGGATTCGATTTCCGCCACCAAACGAACCCCGACGAAGGTGTTTCATGAAAGGGAACTCTCCCCACTCAGTGTTGAAAGTCATCCTTCTCGGGTTGCCGTGGAGGACTTGACGGAAAGCGGGATTCATCTGGTGTTTAAGGTTCTTTTCATAGAGGCGGTCTACGGCCTGACGCATGCCTTTGGGGATTTGGTGTGGGTTCATTCATCGTTTGAATTCAGACCACGCCCCATGGTGCCACCTTCTAAGCTTCCAATGGAGGCTGGAAACGCGTCTGGGACGACTCCATGTGGGTTTTTTCCCGCGAATTGGAAGGATTCTTCATCCAAAGAGGTGGAAAGGGAGCGGGTTTTGGATTCACGGTCCTGGACGTTGGTGATACCTGACACCGTGCTGCGCGCTTTCCCTCTTCTCACCAACCATTATGTGTACGTAGCAAAACCTTTTTTCGTCTACCCGGATCTGCGCTGCATCCTATGCTCCTATAATATCACCTCTGAAGGGCTGGTGGCGGAGCATTGTGCGGCCTATGAATCCGCCGTAGAGGCCACACGCGGTTCGTTTCCAAGCAAACCGAGAGGCAGCTCGAAACCAACAGGTGAGGGTGGTGAAACCGTGGAGGGTTCTTTCCCAGTTGTCAACCCCACTCAGGGAAAGGGGAGGGTCTCTTCGCGTTTATCCGTCGGTGTGAGTCCGAGCCGAGCAGGGGAAAAGCCCCCTCCTTCCCTAGCTATTACGCCTTCCAAAGATCTTTACGATCCGTTGGCGTACCCTATCTTTGGTCGCGGTCTCCAATCCTCGGAAAAGGATCCGGGCGATGCGGCGGCTTGGGATCCACTCGGAGGGGGGTTTCCCCGCGGCCCTGGTGCGGAGTGGGAGATCCCTCTCGAAGTGCTACGGGCCCTTCGCTCAGCTCATATGAATGGCGCTCATTCCCCACCCTCATTTCCACAAAAGGGAAGAGGGCTTCATGGAGCGCCAAGGCCTTCGTTGGAGGAGGGTGAGGTTAGATGGATGTTATCCTATCCGTCGAACTCGTCTTTATCATCGGGCGGCTTTCAGGCAGATCTGTGAGAAGGATGGGGAGGGGGGAGGTTAACATTTTATAATGTCCTTTGGTGCGTGTATGCGTGTGTGTCTTGTTCTCCTGCTATTGGCCTTATTTTCATTGATTTTTGAATTTTACAAATCAAACGCGAGAAGCTGATTTGACTCCTTTTTATGTTCATCCTTTATTGGACTTATAGGACTCTTGAGCATTCTTCTTTTGTTTATTGATATCTTGAATACGTTTAGGAAGTTCAATAGGAGTGAAGTGTGGTCACCAACAATTATCCATAAATAGGGATGGGTAAGGTCAAAAAACAGGCGGGCCACGCCATCAAGAAAATCCTCATGAAAGAGAAGAGCTTGGCGATGAAAAAGAAGCGCGAGGCTGATAGTTATCACGACACGCCTGAATCAACTGTCACGGCGCAGGCCCGCAAGGATCTCGCGGCGGTTGAATACCGAAAGTCCCAGGTTACCCAGGCCGCGCCCGCACAAACCTCTTCCTTCCTATCCTACAACAACGCGCTTGGGCCGCCGTTTCGGATATGGCTGGATACCAACTTTATCAACTTCTCCATGCAGAATAAGATAGACATTGTTCAGGGGCTCATGGATTGCCTTTTGGCTAAAGTGATCCCCTGTATTTGCGACTGCGTCTTTGCGGAGCTGGAGAAGTTGGGTAAGAAGTTCCGGATTGCTCTGAGGATTGCCCGCGACAAGCGATTTGAGCGACTGACTTGTGAAGCGCGGTACGCGGATGACTGCGTCGTGCGCACCGTTACAGAGCACCCGGTTTATATTGTCGCGACATGCGATCAGGAGCTGAAACGACGAATTCGTAAAATACCAGGGGTTCCAATTATGTATATCTCAAAGCATCGCTATACCATCGAAAGACTCCCTGAAGCATACGGTGCCCCTGCGTAGTTTCGGCTTCTGTCATCCATAAGATTAACCAAAGGGTGGGAAAATGTTGATTAATACTCGCAACGATTAATTGTTAACTTTGCATATTCCGAATGCTAAATATTAGGATAGATAGGGGTGAGGGGATCGTTGATCTAAATAGAGAGGGGTACTTCACTACCTTCTATTCTAATATTTTTCCCGTCTTTCACGCATTTGTCTGATAACAGAAATACACTGGTTAAGATGTAATGTGCTTTTTCTGACACCTTCGTCGCGGTGATTTGATTTCAATTTGCTTATTTTCCTTTTACGTTTCTTTAGCTACAAAAAACAACAACATCAGTAGGAGGGAAGAGAAGGTGTGCACCAAGTGAGTCAAAAAGATGCTATAAGGTTGGTTCTACTCTATCCTCATTGGTCATATTCGGTTCAATCATGCGGCACACACTGAGGACTTCCCAATACTTCCACCTCCCTGTGATAAAGCCGCGATCATCAACCTTCCTTTGTTCCCGTCAACTTTACCCCCGAAAATTGTCTTGCCGAGTAGCTTCTCATGGGGGTCTTCTTAGAGTGGTTAGTCGTGAGGGCGATGTCGCCCCTCTTTTTCTAAGCCACGTTTTCACTTCCTTGCGGTGTAAAGGTTATAACTTTTACATCAACCTGGAGGACCCCGAGGATACACGACGCAGCGTGGAGGAGGATTTGGAGCGACTCGCGGAGGAAAACCGCACCGACACCACCGCCTACCTTCACAGTCTTCTGAACCTCGCCCTTAGTCATTACCAAAGCCAGGATTACATTAAGGCTCGTAAGGTGGCGGAGTACACCCACGAGCGCGCTTTTCGCCACAATCGACGGTCTTCGTTTATTTTTTTGACCGCGAAGACGTGCTCGCGATGTGCGTCCGCGCTCGCGGACGAATACGAGGCTCATCTAAGAAAGATGGAGTCCCACGCGGAGATCTCCGCCGCGCTCGCACCGAAACCCTCCGTTGTGTTCAGTGCTCGCCGGACGATTGAGAAGTTACGGCAGGATGCCGTCCGGTTTGATGGAATCGCCACGCGGGTGTACAATCGTCCGGATCTCGCGTTTATGCGTGGTGACGAAAGGGGAAAAGGAGGGGAGGGTTTTGAGGGTGGGAAGGAATCCAGCGGTTCTGCAGCAACGAAAAAGGGAGGCTCTTGCAACGATCGACGCCGCACGTGGTCGGAAGATGCGTGTGCGGTGGATGAGGAGTTCGAGGCGCCGTATGGTCCGAGATGGCAGGAGCGACGAAAGCGGCCGGAGCACGTCGAGCTCCGGCGTTACTATCAGAAGCAGCAGCCGCAAGACGCCCAGGATGGTGGCTCGTGGAAAATTCCAAAGTGAATCACTTGAGAAACAACAAAAACGAATGAATAATGATAATGGGTTTAGTCGCCTTTATGAGCCCAAGATTGGGGATAATTTTTTTTCTCGAAGAATTTCTGCTTTCCCTTTTCTACTTCAGCATCTGCTTTTTATTTGCATGTATATGAATATAGATATAGATCGATATCTTTTAGTATAGGACTTATCGTTTAATCAATGTTATGTTGTAGTACGTCTTTTTTAGCCGCAGCACAGCAGTCGCTTTTAGGCTACGCCATTCGTCGTACCGCTGCCGACGAGATGCTCTACGGTGGGGTTCGCGTCAGCTGCCTATCCCCCAAACCCTTTCCGTTGCAATACATCAAAAGCGAGGAACTTCCATCGCCGTCTTTACGGCGTGAACGGCATGATCTTGGCCTGGAAATGCAGCTCCCGAGGGATCTTGAAGGGTACAATCAGCTCGATATGAGCATCCAACGCCAGGTGGGTTCAAACGAAGATGATAGCGACGATGCCGTCAGCCGTGGTGGTGAGGAAGGGTTTGACATGGGGGAGTACTTTTCCACTGTTTTCCACCCCGAACGCCATCATAATTCCTCTCTTCCCTATAGTGCTCACGATACGAACAACGTCTTGGGGTTGCGGATGTTTCCTTTAAATATGGGTATTCGACTTCGCGTGGAAGGGGTGCGGATTCGAACCGCCGATTGCTTGGAGCGCCTCCGGGATGCCAAGCGGTGTGCGCAGCAAGGGAGGGCGCTCCAGTACCCTCTTCCGTATTACAAACGAGCGGAAATGGCGGAAAGAAGGGGAGAAGGTCCCTCTTCGACCCTTTCCACCTCGGCAGGCCCGTCAGACGTGAAGGACGAGGCGGCGATGGATAGTTCGGAGGCGAAAAGAAGCTTCCAAGTGAGGGCACACCTCCGTGGCGGCCCCAGCCACCCTCCGCCCGCGGAGCTTTCCATTTTCACCCGCCCTCAGGATCATCCACACGGCGATGGCGGAGGAGGCTCGACCTCAATTCGAGAGGAGGCCCTCGCATACTTCCGGGAACGCCGTCAGGGCGGGCGTCTAATCTCGCCCGACGGGGTGCGTTCTACTACGCCGGATCGCCGATGGACCCCTCTCCAGATGCTCAAACCGATTCCCCACACGTGGTCGCCCGCGATCCGGAGTAGCGGAACCCGAGGCCCTTCCATGCAGCTTATGCAGGAGCGCCTGGATCGGAAAGGTTTTGGTTGGAAGCGCAAATCACGTTCCCTTTGGCAGCAAGACCCCGATACAGCGGGGTTTCGTCCGCATCGCTATTTCTAAACCACAGACCGATAGTCAAAGAGGTGGGGATCAGTCTATTTGCGTGTACGTTCTTTTGTTGGGATCGAGCTATCGGGTTAGTTGTGCGTACACGAGTGCATATTGAGCAGGGAAGTTGACTAAATAGGTTTACAACACATGCGCATGTCGTTCATTGACATCTTAGGGGCAACCAAGCTTCTGCGGATGGCGGCTGTGCCAGTACAACACCGCAAGACAACGAGGCCTTGCTATTTTGTTCTCTCTCCCTAAGCATTTTGTACCGAATGGTGGTATCTGTTATTGTTCTCTCTGTTTCTATTTTTCTGTATGAATGGTACATAGTTTACTGTTCTAACGGGGTTCTTAAATCGTGAAAAGGCTGATCTCGGTTTAAAGCGGTATCTATTAACCTTATTGACTATCGTAAGAGTACTATTATGGTGTCCATTACTCTGCCTTGTCTTTCCACCTTCATGGGTTCATTTTCCTATAATATTTGTCCCCTTTAAAGATAATAATATAGAAATTTAAGATTAAATTGTATTTACATATATATCTATATATCTATATATCTATATATCTATATATCTATATATCTATATCCATATATATCTATATATATATATATATATAGATATATATATATTAGTGTCGCCTTTTATACATACACCGTAAATAAATTATACCTTTTTCTGGATTTCATCTTAATCCTAAGTTATTTTCCTTGCCCGAGCGGAACTTTTCACTTGAGTTTCCTCGTTGCGGTGCATCCTGCTGCTGTGCTTACATTGGGTCTATAGTAAAGTGATCCGAGGTTGCACGTTCACCCGTGATTCTTCACCGTCTTCTTCGCCTTACCCAGTCTGAACGACCGTGCGATCCCTAATCCTTAACCCTATAAACCCCTCTCAGAAAAAAAAAGAAAAGAGAGAGAGAAAAAAAAAAAGCCTCTCGCCTCCCTTTCCACCGACCAA